CTACACAAACCAACATATCCACCAAGTAGGGGAAGCCTTTCCCTACTCTATGGTTATATCAACAATCAATACGAAACTAACGATTTTAAATTGGCTCACTACTTGACTAGCCTATTGGTCCCAAGCAAATCGATTAACGTATCCCATTCTACTATAAATTCCAGTACTACACTATGTTTGTTTTGATTCGCTATGAAAGTTTGACAGATAAAATGAGGGGTGATTTGATTTTCCTATGTTTCGAGGGGTGAATCGATTAGCTTGGGACCGAAGATAGTACCAGAGCTGAGCCAAAAAGTTGAGCACGTTTCTTCTGGACATACTAGTCTTAGAGTTACCTCTATGGTTATATCGATTTGCCAAGGAGAGCCATGACTTTTGAGAAATCCTCGAGAGAAGTCATTGTTTATAAAAGCTGTTACGCCCTAATTCCAGCTCTATCTAGAATAGATTAGCTTTGAACACCAGCAAGCTGCCTGTTGACCCGGTTCTTATATAAACGTCATTGAGAAAAGTTAACCAATATGCATTTGATTACATTCGAGGGGTGAGTCATTTGCTATTATTACACATGACAAATATAATTTAATTACATTAATTACAATCCGGGAAAAAAATTGGTGCATATTGCAAAGGCTTTTTGATACTTACGGGAAGACGAAAATAATTGTTTAAACAAGTTTTGATTTAATTCGCTGCTGTAGTAATGAATACTTTGAGTTCCCTTTCTGATGCAATAGCGCGCTTGTTGGCCTGAAAATCATATCTCCGAAAAAACAAAAGAGTGAACTATATTGTTAATACAGTATATTTGCAATTGATTCAAGGCATACAACTCTATAGGTGTGTTCGTATTTCAGTCGGAAGTTGTAGAGTACACAGCAAAAAATAAATTTTAATATTACATCCAAGAGGATGCACTTCAATCATGTCGAAAATCTCATGTAATTTTTATGGCCACACAAATAAACAAATGCATTAAAAGCAGCGTAATGTCAGTTCATGCATGTCTTAATGATAATTTTGTCCTTTTTGGCAAACATATTTTTTGCCGTGTAGCACCGGTAGCACCAAATATACTATATTAACAATATAGTTCACTCCAGGTGCGTAGCATGCTAGAGGCGGGGAGGCGGATCGATAGAATACACAGCAGACAAACATGTTGTATCGAACAACGTGATTCAGACTTATGAATGAAATATTGATATAATAGCAACAAGCAGATGTAATATCAATGGACGTAATTTTGTTCGTAACATCAGCGTACATTGTACAATGTAATATCACATTACCACCGGAATGACCTATGTGCAGTTGTTTAAATGTTATGTTCTATGTACAACTATTTTTTCAGTGTACTGTATTCTAAAAACATTGTGAGGAATGCTTCAAAGCTAACAGAGGTTTAAAGCAAAACATGTTTAATTATTTTAGTATTCACTTAAGTATCTACTGGTTGAAGCAATGTGCACAACCAGGGTTACTTCCACTCACTTTCTATAAAAAAATGTTTTTCGGAATAATGAAATCATGAGATGGTATAATGATAATTAGTACTTGTAAGCTACAAGAAGAGGTCGTGAAGTATGTGTTTGACACAAAAAATCTGTCAATATTGCTTTCAGAGGGTCACAATCAGCGATTTTACGACTCGTGAGTGCTCACTCTGAGTGAACGCTCACTGTGAAGTCTTTCGCTCCTCGAGTGTTTGAAGACCGGCCAGGTGGTGAATATCAGAATTACGAGTTCGCGGTGGTTAACAGTCATTCTGAGGATCTTGTTTCTGAAGCTTTAGGTGGTGGCACTTAGCACAACTCTTCCAGATTGGCATACCATACTCAATAGCCGGCAGAATGATCTGCTTGTGGACAGCAAGCTTGTTTTTGAGGGACAGGGTGGACTTCCTGTTTATCAGAGGGTAGAGCGACCTGATCAAGATGTTACACTTGGTGGATGTCTTTTGCACATGGGATCGGAATAGCAATTTGTTATCGAGGGTGAGACCAAGCTAGACTACTTCACTCGACCATTCAATGGGAGTGCTATCAAGATGGACCTTGACGTTAGCAGGTGGAACAAGTCGAGGTGAATTCGAGTGTGGAAACAGAATGGTTTGTGTTTTAGCTGCATTGATACAAATCTTGCAGCTCTTGAAATAGTCGGACAGAACATCCAGACCTGATTGTGGTTTGCTCGCCAGAGCACGGATCACTCGACCCTTATTATAATAGATGATGGAGGTGTCATCTGCGAACATATATAGGATACCACCACCCGGCAAGGGAGGAACGTCTGACGTGAAAATTATGAATAGGATAGGCCCAAGCAGGCTACCCTGAGGGACCCCATCAACGCATCAACGTTGAACGTATCAGAGGGGACATTGTTCAAGTAGACCTGGAATGATCTACCCGACAAGTAGTTTTTGATGATCTTCACGAGGTAGATCGGAAAGTTGTAGCGATGCAGCTTGTACACTAGACCATCATGCCAGACATTGTCGAACGCCTTCTCGACATCCAACAATGCCATGGCAGATGTATTGTTAACGAACTTATTCCGCTTGATGATGTGAGAAGCCAGTCAAACTGTGTAGGATTACTTACTTATTAGAAAAATTTCCTAGTCTAATCATAGCCTGTTTTGAGTTATGTCATGAAAGTCAAAACTCATTGGCTAAATTTAGCACTCTATATAAGCATCGGTGGTTCAGTGGTAGAATGCTCGCCTGCCACGCGGGCGGCCCGGGTTCGATTCCCGGCCGATGCAAAATACATTTTTTTGATAGATGGCGCAGATTTCGACGAGTCGTCCCAATACTGATTTACGGCTTTTATAAAAATTGAAAGCCATATATCAGCTTTATATTGCACAAAAAGCCCTAAATATCACTGTGTGTGCGATCTTGTTTGTTTTTTTTTTATAGGAGAAGAAAAGCTTCCGTGTGTAGTTTTGTTGTGCTGTAAACTAGGTGCGGAGCTTATTCCTATTTACCCCAGAAGTCCTGCTGACCTTCCCCAGATGTATCTGCCGACTGCTTCTGGAAGATTCTTTAAACTTTTTCTGGAAGTTTCTTCCAGCTTGCCCCGAAAGCACATTCAGACTTCCCCAGGAATTTTCTGCCGATTTTTTCTGGATGTGTATCTCTCATCAGATTCTGTCAGCTTCTTCAAGAAGTTTCTTCCAACTTACCCTAGAAGGTCTTTCCAATCTCTTAAAAACGTTTTCATACGCTTCCAGTGTAAATTTCCACAGAGTAAATGTTTCCAGGAATTATTTCCTTGTCGGTGTTATCTATTTTTAGTGAAAAAGAATGTTTATCATGCCTTTGATAGCTGTTTCCGAGGAAATCTATTCAGCTTCCCTAAAATTGGGGAATGTGATTTATGATGAAATGAGCGGAAATTGTTTCCCAATATATCACCGGCATTACAATAATCATGAGATTTTTTAATCATGCACCCCCCCAACAAAAAAAAAACAATGGCTGTAACACTTTTTCACGAAAATTTTACTCAGTTTCAGTTCAAAAGGGAGTCTACTCAGTGATTGAACAAGTTCGAGCGAACTGTCGGTGTGATTCTGAACCAGTCGCCTGAAACCTTGGTCCTTCTTTCCGTCCTCCAAGGTTGCAAATACTCATTTCAGCTATAATAATGTTTTTTGGAATAATAAAACCAAAAGATGGTATGATGACATGTTTTACTTGTAACTTACAAGAAGAGGTTACAAAGTATGTGTTTGAAACATAAAACCTGTAAATTTTGCTTTCTATGAGTCACAATCAGCGATTTGCTGATCGCTGAGTGAGTGAGTGAGTGAGTGAGTGTGTGAAAAATCGCTGATTGTGACTCTCACTAAGTGAAATAAACAGGTTCAATATGTCAAACAGATTCTTCACAACCTCTATCCTACCAATTCAAAATATGATCATGGCATCTAATTAATTCATAATTAAATAAAAAAAAAAACATTGTTTTAGCTGAAATGATTATTTGCAACCTTGCCGTCCTCAGATGAGAAAACTGTCGGTGTGATTCCGATCCAGCCGCCTGTTGCAAGTGCCTAATAAATTATTAAGAATGTCTTTGATTACTATACAATTTATAAAGATTATTTTGATACTTTGAGATTACTCAATTCAATTATTGGCTTTAAAGCAAAAATGTCAACAATGAATGAGAGTTTTCAAAAATTTGGTTTACTTCTTAAATCAATACAGGAATTAAATTAATTTCAGTTTAAAAAAAAAAACTTCTGCAAAACCTAACCTTCTAAGTTTTAATGTTAGAACTTTATTTCCGTTATAAAGAGACTATTGCCATTGCATTAAACCGAGTTTGAAACCATTTGGCAAATAGAGCATACTTTAAATTTTTATCATCGACGTCCTTAGTTATTCAGAACTGGTAACATTTGAAATTATACATAAAATTAAGACTGAAACTGTGAAACTGTGCTCAAAGATAACGAATTAGTAGAAAAGAGTTAAATTGCTTCGACACATAGATTCTTACTCCTTACGGGATGTTATGCGGAAATAACACATCATTTATTAAATAAACATCGTTGAACGGATGTCGATTCCCTTGTGCAGTATCAAGTACATTCAACAATTCCACTACCGGGTCCATGCTTTCGAACACTTGAAAATATCCTACAGGAATTCTTCCTTAATCGTTACTTTCTCCCAATTCATCGACTGCAGTTCACTGTGAACTTATATATCGCACAGTGTTCGTTTTGTTTAGCCAAGCTCATGTAAACAGACAAAAAATATGTTCCTTTCTCCATCCGACCGATGCCGACATGGCAACACAACCTCACAGTTACACAGCTCAGTGCAGTCAGTTCATAAACAAATCATTATGATACGATACATAGCACGCTTCTGAGGAAGACCGTAGGAAATATAACACTTTTCCCCTTGACGATTTATTTTTCTTTCCATCCATGTTCTGTATCATCTTTACTTCTTGCGTATTTACTTCACACAGGCCCTCATGTGATACCCTTGGAGGAGGAAGGCTACTGGGGTTCTCCATGCAGTTCCAGTGAATCTCTGGAGAACCGAGATGAGTACTCACCTGGTCAGAATGTGTTATCATCGCAATCCGGACCGGAAGGATCGTCCCCCTATAGTAGCCAGTATCATCATCACCACCATGGTCAGCAAGTTTACTGCCCCGTCGGGTATGAGAAGACGAGTGAGTATGTTACTGGAAGGGATTATTCCACTAGAAAAGCTCTAGATAGTATTTGTCAGGACATGTAGTGGCTCCTAAATTGCGTATCCATAGCAGTTGAGGATGTAACTAACTAGACCAACAATGTTAACTGGTGCTTATATTGATTCACAGGCTTCAATTAATCAGGGTCTAGAGTCGATTAGATGTTGATGATGAATGAAATGTGACAGTTATAGAATAGATTTAGCTGTCACTTTTCCTCAACGTATTTAGTAAATTCGGAAGCATTTCACGTGGGTATTTACCTGGAAGTGAGACCAAGATACCACACACAGACTAATTAATGTATACTAGGCGCCTCAGTGAAATATTTACATCCTGTGCTGCTACTTGTCCTTGGGATTTCATTGCTTGCAGATTGTGTTTTTGCCCGTTCGTTGTGTGGGTCGACCCACCTCCACTTCTAACACATTCCCATTTCTGTTGATATCGGCTTCTTATGACACCACCGATCGAGCTCGGTATTCGATATTCTGTTATGAGACCATCAAACACGAATTAGAATACATGTAGCATTTGAGTATTCTCCGCTGATACATGGGGGCACTTAGGCTGAATACATCAAAATATTTCAGGATTTTTAGTTTCACTCGAAGAACAAACCGAATGGTCATCTATCATTGCTGGTGGTACCGCGACCGTTGGTTTATACCTGAATTGACTATTGCTTTGTGTGCTTTACTCAGCGTTGCCAGAATGTTTTAAAGTATTTACTATTTTAAACTATTTTATATTTTTGCCGTTTTTGAAAGCGAAAATATTAACTTTTGGAATAAGTTGAAAGTTTTAGGAAGCTGAAAAGAACATCCAGAGAAAGAAGAAAGAAGCTCTTCTGGAGGAAATTTGAAGAAAGTTCTGAGAGAAGTCGGAAAAACATCCACGGAACTTCCAAGACAAAAATTGAGAAACTTCTGGCGACAATTTAAAGAAACTTTCAGAAAAAAAAATCGGATTTCACATTCAAAGAAAGGCAGAAAAATTTCGGAAATTGGAAGTAAATTCCAGAAGTAGCCATTTCCAGGGGAAGCCAGAAGAAGCTCGGAAAAACCTTCCAATAGAAGTAAAAAAAAACTAACTGGACAAAATTTCAGAACTAGACGAAATAAATTTCTGGAAGACGGAAAAAACTTCCTGGAGACGCTGGCAGAAACTTCCCAAGGTAGATTGGAAAAAAAATCTGGAAGAAGTCGGAAGTCAGAGCGCTAACGGAACAGTCGAAAGAAACAAGGACATGATTCCTGAAGAAAGGTCATAATACATCCCTGAAGACCCCGCAATGCCCCTGAAGTTTTTGGAACATTCCTGAAATGTACTTAGGAATATTCCATATTTCCTCGGAATTCCTTAAAAGTTCTTGAAATTTTCCTTAAGTTAACAGGGCTGTTTTGGAGTACTCCGATCATCTTTGAAATACTTGAAACTTCCCTGATTATAATGAGACTACCGGAATATCTCTAATCAACTTTGAAGGTTCACAGACTTTTTTGAAGATTAGGAAATTTCTTAAGCGCTCTCACAATTTCCTTGAATTGTTTGTAACATCAGCATTGAAGTTCTCGAATCTTCCCGATTCTTCTTATTTTTAAAAGTTATTGACACTGCCATTAATAAGCACGAAACTTCCTATAAAATGTTGTCAAAATGTGCTAATGTTCATGTAACTTCCCTTACGTTTCTTAAATTGTCATGCGCCCCTCGGAACAATGCTGAAGTTTTCGGAAGTTGCCTGAGTTTCTCGGAACTCCTTTAAAATGTCAGTGAGTTCCTTGAAATATCTTGATCTGTCCTGATGTTCTCGGAGCTCTCTAAAGTTCTCTCAATTCCCCTGAAACTAAACTGTCCTGAAAACCATTAAATTTTCCAGAAGTTCTTTGGACTTGTGAAGTATCCAAAATATGTATGGTGTTTCCTTAAATCCACTGGAGTTCGCTGGACTTTCCTGAAATTTTCGGGTTTTAGAATTTTAACAGAAGTTATTGAAACATTCCTTAAATTATCAAAACTTAAAGTTCCTGCAGCTAGTGTGGTTCCGCAATCAAAATATGGAAGCATCCCTGAAGTTCCGGGAAAGTTGAAAATAATTAACGATGTAAGGTGGAAGAAAATCCAGGAACTTGAATAATGTTTAAAAGTATTTCCCGATTCCCCCGGAATTACCAGAAAGAGCCATCGACTGTTTAGAGATTCATGAGTAGCCAAAAACGGTGAGGAAATTGAAACATTAATCGACAGAGTATCCATTAGACATATTTGAGGATGATTTTTTTTTATCAGAATTTTAAAGGCTGAAAAAATTGAGATATTCAAAAAGATACAAGTCTCTCACAATAATTTTCTTCAAAATTCTGAGCGCGGACAGGCAATAATCATTTCGATTATTTAAAAAAAATCTATAAATCGGTATAAAACCTCAAAAATCGGTATTCAAAAACCAAAAATGGTTTCAAAAACCAAACCAAACCAAAAACCAAAGTCCGTCGCGGCATTAAAGTGGTCTGATTTCGATCCATACATGATGGATTTTAATCCTTAATACGCCAATCGTTAGGAAATTTTTTTAACAAATCTGTAAAAAATTAAGACTTTCTCATTTTTCAAAATTTTACTATCGAAAGTTGCACGAATGTGTAACTGTTGCTATGATAATTAAAATTATCACCGATTGCCTGCGAAAAGCGCTTTCCCTAACACAGATTTCAAAGTTGAATTCCATCCGGTCTCATAGAACGGTGTTTATTCAATCACCGCGTAGTGGTGGTGTTGTCCAGTACATAACGAAAGGCTCTCCGCAAGCAGCTAATTCCATGTGTTTTGTGCACGAAAATGTGTAATTTTGTCATCAGAAAACTAGGCGTTTCCGTGATGGGAGAAAGTGGTTTCCCTAACACAGTCGCCGAATATTGATGCCAGACGGTACCTATCTTTATGACTCATGATGCAAATTTTACAACCCTCTTATTAAGAGAATTATGCCATCTTACCGAATCCTCTTAATCGGAGGGGCTAAAAAATTGCATCAAAAAGCATAAACGCAAGTACCGTCTGGTATGCTCAGTTTCGGTGGTTGATGTGTTTTTTCCCTAATACATATTTCATTTCCACACCGCTATCATCTCCAAGAACATCGAGGAAAAAATTCCACAGCATTGTCCTTAACTGGCTTCCAAGCTTCCATCCCTTATCGGTTCTTTTCAGGACCACAAATGACTGATAAAAGTGTTAACCAATGACTTCAAGTAAGAGCTTGTATCCAAAACACATCGTCCAGAATTGGCTCTCAAATTGCTTCCGAATTTCAACCTTTCAAACTTTTTCAGTGATAACGATTCAAGAAATCAATTTAGAATTTACTATTCTTTTGCTGTGACATCAAAACTACCTTTCGTACTCCTATGTCAAATCTACGGTAGTGTCGTGTCCTCTTACTTTTTTTTCAATTGATATTATTTCCAAAGACTGCCCAAGGCCGTAGTAGGGTTTTTGATCTAATTTCCGTCCTACTAAGCACAAGCCACGCTTTACTTATCTTTATTGAACGGGTTTTAACAAAAAAATAAATGTTTCTACCAAATATGCCTCCTAAATTTATTTACCTTTCCATAAGTACCGTTAAATTTGATAAAGAGCCACACATTGTTGAGATATTTTTAAAAATCTAACACTGCTTCTTGATTCCAAATTCGTCCTACGAGTTTCAATTCCATCCAAACGCATTGAAACGCCATTGGATTTTCTTCGTCCTACAGATGAAGGATGAAAAAGGGAGTTGGCCAGGAGCGCTTCTTTTGTTTTGAGAACAATGAGTGTAAATATGCACACAAAACGCTTTAATAGGCTTTGTGTTGTAGCTTGTGAACTAACGCATCGATACAAACGTATTACTGATTTGTGCACGATGAAATCATTTATTATAGTGATGTTTTCTGCTCGATAGAACGGAAATGGACGATTACGACGAAGTAGCGCTATACCCTATAACCTCACTACGCCTCTGCACTTGATTAAATGTTCTGACACCAGATATCCGATACCATGATCTATTCGACTACGATGAAAAATAATAGCAACGACCCGAATAGACCCGGACAAGTCTCCATTATGCTGGACTTTTTTCGTGAAAGCCTCGTATTTTGCTTAGATGAGGTTAAAGATGTTATGCTTGTGCCTCAGGGCGCCTCAGAAATTATCGTGATTGAGTTGGTCGAAAGTTTTTTCGTAGTCATTGTATATCAATCATAAGGACTCTTGGAATTACTCTTGTAACCTGCTCCAGGATGGGGATGAATCAGGTCGGATCTTTCAGATCATGATGCCTCCCATTTTTTCTCAGATAGTCAGATCCCCCTTTTTTTGTGACCTTCACAGCTGTCTGCCTTATAAGAACTGTTTACTTTATAAAATGGACAAACACATTTTATATCTACTTAGCTGGATTCTTTGGCACGTATGAAGCTCTATTTTTTAAGCAACATAGCAAAAATTCATGGATTTTATAAATACGTTTGAAGTAGCACGTAATTTTTACAATATTTGTACATTAGTTTTGCAGGATAAAGTATACATACGATTTTTCAACTATTAGTATAGCATATTTCCCGTCGGGATTTTCTGAAGCATAAAATCTTTGATCACGGGAGGAAAGCCCATTGGTCCCCGGCCCATGAGTTCATGGGTCGATAGATAGGGTCCAGGTGTGGGAGCTGCCTCTCTGGCGTCGGTTGCATTGGTACTCCAGTACAGAAAACAAGATCGATGGAAGACACATCATGGAAAAAAAATTATATTTGTCATGCCATGTTTACCACTGCAGCAAACAAACTACATATGAAGTTGAAGTAATGAAATTGGGTTGTTAGCTGAATGCTTAAATAGAACAGCAAAAAAGTTATCTTCCATATAATTCCACTTGATTAATTTTGGTATCTATGACAGATACGCATTTCGACTACAATGTGTTCATCAGTGTCATTCCCACTAAAGACTTATCAAAATCTAACCCCCTTAAGTACTCATCCCCTAGGTAAGAATTTCAAGAATCGGAACTTACCCAACTAATAAAAAAAAACAAAGACTTAAGTAAAGTAAAGGAGAAAAATCTATACAACTCTTCAATAAGGAAAAATTCAAAAGGCAGGATAGCCATCATAATGAAGTAATGAAATTGGGTTGTTAGGTTTTTTTATATATTAAGTTTCAACTATTTTGATTCTTCCTTATCTTGAAACTTTAAACTATTGCCCGCAGTCAGTTTTCATTAAATTTGAATTGGATATGCACATTTGTAACAAGTATGACAAAGTTCAATATGACTGCTCATGTTTAAAAACAAAACTTACCACATTTTGATCTAATTTAGTGATCTGGAAAGTTCAAAGGCTTTAGTCTAAAGATTTCCACTTAAGTTGAGGGTCTCATATAAAAAAAAATAAACACTGAACATACAATTTTTGTGTGTTTTGTTAATGCTTTTTTTGAAACGACTTACTTAAAATGGTCATTAAAAAGCTATGAGTTTGACACAGTGGCGTCGCTCTAACCTCAATCTACATATGTTCAACAAATATCAAAACGTAAACAAATAAAACAATATTGGTTTCAATGAATACACATTTGTGAAACTAGAAGACATTGAGTTCTTTGAAATTGATTTGAATGTAAACATGACGTTTTCAAAGTTGTTGAACAGGTAAAAAGTGAGGTTAGGCGACGCCACTGGTTTGACAATCAATAACTTAAGCATTAAATAATTTTGATTGGATAAACAATACGAATACAACATACAATGACAAAAGTTACGTACTTTTTTCGATGTCCGTTTTATAAAGTGAATAGTCCTTAGTAGCGATGTATCAGATATTACAGACGAGAATGCAAGAATGAACACGAGATGAACTAGCCAACGAGCTAAAAATCTCGATAGTAAAAAAGCTTTTAAAAAATGCAAGTATGGAGCAAGTGTCTGTGATACAGCCGTTGAATCTGTCTCTAAGTACCGTTTACCCAAATTCACAAAAACGGATTTCACTGGTGGAATACTCACAACAGCAAAAAAGTTGATTATTTTCCATTTAATTCCACTTAGTAATTTGTACCCATGACAAATACGTATTTCCACTATAAACCTATTGAAATGTAACCCTAAAATTTTACTCAAACATGAGTTAGACTCAACGGCGGTGTATAAATATATTTTTAAAGTTCGATTGATTTTTTAATATTGTTTTTATAATTGTTTAGGCTACATATGCGACGAGGGCTACTATGGAGCTACAACCACGACAAACACAAGCGGTGGATCGGTAACATCAATGCATACGTCCAGTGGAATCGTCTCCGGAAGCGTTCCTGTAGTGAGGGTAGTCAAAAGACGCAATACAGCCAACAAGAAAGAACGCAGACGTACTCAAAGTATCAATTCAGCCTACACTTCCTTAAGAGATCGAATTCCCAACGTACCGAACGATACGAAGCTCTCAAAGGTAGATTTGACTCTGACATTCCATATCAAAATGCTCAAGAACATTCATTCCAGATTAAAACGCTCCGGTTAGCGATATCTTATATTGCTCATCTACTGGCAGTCGTTAATGGTAACCAAGATCCATCCTGTGACTTTCGAGCGGAGCTTGTACCCTCGTCAAGGAAGATAAACGCCGAGCGAAGGGCCCAGAAGAGTATGCTGCAAGTAAGTTCCTAGTTCTAGGTTTATTTTCCTGTATAAGGGAAACCGGTAATAAACGCTCACATTGGGTAATATGGTAGGGAAGAACAGGCGGGCCTAAACGCCCGGTGTGGTTTTTCTTAGCTTTTCCATTACTAATTCTGGGATGTTATGTGCAGAAATGCTAGTTTACTCAATTAGCAAAGCTGCTTGTCAAATTCATGAATTAAAAACGGGGTAGCTATGAAAAAGCACATCAGTCATTTTGCCCCGGGGTATGTTTTTGGCTATCTTCCCCTACTAAGCTAGCAAAGCTGCTCGATGACAAATCCACAAATAGGGAATAGAATTTTTAAATTAACCACGTGTTGGAAAATTTTTCTTCACGGGTGCGTTTTGGACTGTTTTCCCACATAAAACCGCTCATTCACATCATCTCGGAAATAGACTCTACATATAGAGTCACTTTGTTGCTACACCGCAAGGCGTGCAGTACAATATTCATAATTGAATCATTATCTTTATTGGGAGTATCTGGTTTTCTGGCGTCTGGATTTGAGCAACATGCCACAACGCAGATAAATTGTTTCGCTTTAGGAGAGAACAAACTACGATAATTTCACCAGCGTTGACGTTTCCCCCATGCCAGTTCTATTATTTTCCGGAATTGCTCTATAATATGCGATAATTGAATTACGGGACATTTGCCTTAATTATTTCGTGATAAAAATACAATGTCTATATTATTCACAAAACTAAAAGCAAGTTTTCCATTGGTGGGAAAATGTGCACCCCTTTTAAACGAGAATATGTAATAACCTAAAAGGTTTTCCCAGTTGCATCATAGAAATTGCAACTGAACATCAAGTGTCACTTAACTGCCGATAACCAGCCAGCAGCATAGCATAAATTGGATGATAGGGATGGATGATAACCGACCCCTCTCCTAGTGTGTTTTCCATTTTCTCTAGAAGTTTTCCGACTCTAAATCAGAGTTTGTTCTACGGGAAAAATGTGATAAGTACTAGAGCCTCCCCTCCTAACAAGCCTCGATAGCGCAGTCGGTAGCGCGTAAGTCTCATAATCTTAAGGTCGTGAGTTCGATCCTCACTCGGGGCAGTAACTCTTTTTTTTGTCAGCAGAGGCTCGCTCGTACGTTGCGTTCGTTTGTGTAACAATCAATTCGAATTGAAAGCGAACAAAAAAGTTCTTCGTTTGACCCCGACGTGATTTGAACACGCAACCTTCTGATCTGGAGTCAGACGCGCTACCGTTGCGCCACGGAGTCCCATGTACATAGGGGAACAATAGCAATACTTAAATAAAACGTTTATTAAATGAGTTGAAATCATGCACTAAGGTAGAAAAGAAGCTAGCAATATGTTAACGCCCACTTTTGACGCCCCAATTACCATGGGTATGCGCATGCGCGTTTTTCGTTTTTTTACGGTGATGTTGCAAGCATCTGGTTTTGAATTCAGGTGGATGAGCGTGTGTAGACGAGAGAGTATTGATGAAAAATGGGTGGAAAATACCGTTGAGAATTCTTGGTTCTCTGAAGAGTGTTGCTAATTAAAATGTTTTGACACCTAATTGGAACAAAGATACAGGTGGTGGGATGATCTTTAAATTTAGATGTCATTTTCCACAATATTTCCCATGCCAGTTAAATGGCTTTGCATTCCGTGTTAAATCTTGGGAAAAACATGCGTCACATGCCAACCACAAATTCAATCGCCGTCAATTCGTTATAATATTCCAGATGTTCTTGCGAAGTCGTGCTTAGTCGATTTTTCAACTTGTCATCGAGTGTCAAGTAGAAAAGTCGCATAAGCTCCATTTGTATTCTAAATGTTTTTGAGTTACTGATTGACAGTCGAGCCAACAGGATTGATGAAATAACAATCTGACTTTAGTATAATCCTCTTCTATTCAGTGAATAGCACACAAAAGAGAGGAAAATTAAACAAAAACTCCCGGACTAATTTCCGAAATCTTGAACTAAAAGCTTTATTTAAGATTACGAGTTATTATAATCTAGGGCTTAAGAAAAATGTTCCGGGCGATAGGATTATTTTTCCAGATTCTGTGACTTTATGGATGTCAGAACGATTATGTGACTGGGTCAGAACGAACAGGGGTTCTCATAATGCTATGTTGCGTGCGACTCGGTTGATCTCCGACAGCTATCCGATAACGTCATACAAGATTAGTTCTCTAGACCATCTCCAGTTCAACGATTACAACACGAAACGTTGTAAATTGCCCCTTATGATAGCTTTTACGCCTCTTTTGAATTTCATTATATAAGTTGAAAGTAGAATACAAGCAACAGGCATAGACAAAATATTGTAGGGGTCTTTGAATTTTTTTCATGATCCTGTATGTTGGGCCTCGAAAAAGCAAACTATAATTTAAATTTAGGCCGTTCAAAAAATAAAATCCTAAGTTTTCTCTAATTATAGCGGAATGTGTGGTACTCGTAATCAGTGCACTGCTAGTGAGATTTTATTCTTGCTTTAACATTTAGTACGGCTTTAAAACTAAAAAAAAGTTTTATTCTGAAAATACTTAGCAGCTCAATCTGTTGTAAAGTTCTTAAAGGGTATTGTGGGTATTCCAAACATTTAATATGCGGACGGAAATTTTTTCTTCGGTTTCAGTGGTGTGTGATGACGATCTCTCGAAATCTTAACCATTTTTGATTTTTTTTTTTTTGTTGCATATTCGGCATATAAACGTGATCACACCATAGAGGTAACTCTAAGACCAGTAGGTCCCGAAGAAACGTGCTCAACTTTTTGGTTCCGCTCTGGTGCTATCTTCTGTCCCAAGCTAATCGATGCACCCCTCGAAACATAGGAAAATCCACGAACCCATCATTTTATCTGTCAAACTTTCATAGCAAATCAAAACAAACATAGAGTAGTACTAGAATTTCGACTTGAATGGGGTACGTTAATCGATGTACTTGGGACCAATAGGCTAGTCAAGTAGTGAGCCAATTTAAAATCGTTAGTTTCCAGCGGTTGATCACACTTCCTACAGTCACAGTCGTATATGACTGTCGACAGACAAAATGATTTCAGTTATTTTCATTAACTGTGACATACTTTTTAAGCATTTCACTGTAAAGACAAAGAAGATTCTGTAGGCCGTGATCACCTTGGAAGACAATCTGCGAGTTGGACAGCAATTTGTTTCCAATATTAGTGGTAGAATCCTGGTAATCCCTAATAAAAAATACTATACCCGAACGATAACCCACATGATAGAACTATTCCACAAATGGTTTGGATGATACTTTGAACCCGTCGTTAAGCAAAATAACCATACAATTTTATTAGGGATGTAATACAAGGTTACCTCATTTGACCACCAATGGGTCACCATTCGACGATTACGCTTGGTAGTTTTTGGCTCTCTGCTTAAATGTTCACCGCAATCGTCCATTTTCACGTCACTTGTGATTGCACAACCAAACGCTTTCTGATCCAAACCAACCGATTCGAACACTGAAAATAAAAACGTAAACAAACTGCTGAATGTCAAAATATCTACGACAGACAAATGCTCCAGAACAGTTGCAGAAACAGACTAATTTCTCTATACAGTCAGCAAGAATTTGTTAACAGACCATGATAACACTGTCACAGATAACCTATACACTTTGACTGTACACAGCTCGCAAGTCACAGATATTTTGCTGTCTGCAGACAACTGTTAACCCATTACAAAAGACGACAGATAAACTGTGCAGGTTTTTACAGAGAGAATGGCTAGTCTAACCGTAATTTAAGACGGCGGTAATTTAACAGATTACCAAGAAAATTGAGGTCATCCATGACTAAACGAAAACATGTCGAATTGGACAGGTTCTTCTCTGATTCAGAAGGTTGATTAGCAGAATATTCATTATTTTAACTTCCTCCTGAAAAGCTGTATTAAGTGGCGCCTCCTTCAAAACAAATTTTAATTGAAACTCATCTCCCATGTGACATATTTTCCCAACACAACTATAGTGTAGGAAAACCACTTCAATCCTTCCAGTGGATAATTTACGTCTGAGAACGGGAAAACCACTTACCCGTTCATAATACAAATTGCTCTTCATTCACTTAATTCGTTTGACATATTTTAATTGAGCGGCAAACTCAAAGCTAATAACGGAAGAGACGCACCGATCTTTTTTTTTTACCATCGCGTTTGTAGCTCAAGCGTACTTTTCAGCTAGGTACTATTATTCTACATAGAAGCAGCAAAAGCATGCACTCGAATCAAATGCGAGAATGAGCACAGTTGATACTTTGTACTGGCAGCCAAATGCATCACCACTCAAAGTGATACCGCTCTTCAAAGGAAATGAAAATAAAAATGGATTAGGAAAAATCAACTGAAACTGTTATCTCAAGTGGATTTGGGAGCATAAAGATATCTTAAAGGTCGGAAAACTGAAAGCAACTCCCAGGTCTGATGGATTTCAAACTAATAATTTGTATTTCTATTTTCACATTCCAGAATCTTGCCAGTGAAGGAAAAAAAATCAAAGGTAGAACCGGGTGGCCACAACACGTTTGGGCATTGGAAACAAAGACCACCATCAAGTGAAATTTAGGAATAATAAGTGCTGTTTCCATAAATCTTTTCCTGGAAGATGCAAATAAAAACCCATAATAAATTAGTATAGCACACACTCGTGATAATGCTAATTATGCTTCGAAGAGATTTGACCATGATTGTACAAAGTTTGCAAAGATTTGCGTAAATGTTTCAACTTGATCTGCCAAATAAAGCTCCTCGAGTGCTCAACTATGAATGATTTTTTTTTTAGGTTTTGAATTTTTGTTATTTCTTCTTTGAATCCGAAAGCCAAATTTTGAAGTCCTAAGGGGGAGAGGGGTGGCTTACAAATGTTACGTTTTCTTACATGGGAGAGAGGGGGTCCCGAAACCATCTTACGTAAGCATGGACAAGTCATATTATATAATACAGATCATTCAAATATTCGATATTAGATCTTACAAAGGGGGCAGGGGTGTTAAATATTGCTAAGCCTTACAATTGGGGGGAGGGGCTACAAGTTGCTTACGTGAATATTACATGAACCTCTAGGCGTTTTTCAACTTTAGTCGAGAGTCTTTTAGTTCATTTTCTAACCTTTCTGCACTCAACCTTATACAAGATCCTCTTAGAAGTATTGTGAGATAGTGACGTGAAATATTTTACGAATCCCCTTGTAGGCACTAAATTTTCTTAAAAAAATAATACGTGGAGCAAAAACCATTCGCTAAACTTTTGTTTAGCCCCAATTTTTTTTTTAGGATTAAGACTTAAACTGTTTTATCAAAATCAGCCAGGAAATGACGAAATGAAAGGAGTATCTAATAGGCTGAAAAAAAAATCGATTCCAATGTGAAAATCTGATAGCCTGTTTGGGATGATCTTCTCCAAGAGTGTATCTAGCAGAAATATAGGCCTGTACGATACTGGATCCCCCGGTGGTTTTCATGGTTTTGGTAGTAACACTAGCTTCTGTATCTTCCACTTGTCAGGGAATCGACCCTCGTCCAGGCATTTTTGCAGCATCATCCTGAACATGTTTGGGGACGCCTGGATCGCCACTTTCAACGCCACGTTGGGGATTCTATCTGGACCGGGAACTTTCTTCACCCTCAATCTTTTCGCCACTGCTACGAGTTCCAGGTTTTTAACTTTAACGTTATCGGTCGTTGGGTTGTGCTTCGGGAAAAGTCCTTCCTCGATGACTTTCAGCTTCTCTGGGTACGTTTCAGCGTGTATCGTTGGACCTCCGATCTTCGCCATCACGACACGGTATGCGTCGCCCCATTGGCCATCCGTCGCATTGGTGTATGAACAGAGCTCTTTAAAACAGTTTGACTTGCTCTGCTTAATCTTTCGTTTAAGTTCGGCTGGCAGCTTGGAACACTCGTTCTTCTCTATCTGCTTCTGTTCTTGCTATCTGAACACGACTTCTGGCTCTGAGACAACTAGTGCGGAGGGTGCCTCGTTCCACCAGTAAGCTGGACGCCGTCTGTTATTTGGCTCCAGATTCTTGGCATGGTCGTGTCACATGCTCTCGCTAACGTTTCTGTAAGCTCGTCCGCGTGCATATCCTTTCAGACTCTGTCCCTTACAGAGGGGGAAATGTCTCGGACCATCATAAGAACCTTTCCCGGACCCAAAAACCGCTGCATTTGAAGCTTCCCATCGTATGATCGTTTCCATCCTCTTTTTTTTGCAGAGCATGCCGAGCCTCTTGCAATGTGACTCTTCTCTCGGCATTTCCTGCACAGATCAGATCTGCCAGGTCATTGCAGTTCCTCACCTGGTGACCACACTTACCACCCAACCTTGACCTTTACCGTCTCCAATAGCTTATTCGCTGCAACTGTCGAAAGCCATATCAACACCGTTTGCATGCCCCCATACGCCTTCCTCATCCTGATTGACATCGGGATATCTTCCAGATCACAGTACATCTTCCACGCACTTCTAAGCTCGTCTTCTGTAGTGATCTCGTCCAGATCCCTGTACTCGACTACTGTCTCCTGGGATAGAGTTCATACGCTCGCTCCTTCGCCTTCCTTTTAATGAGCTCAAAGAGAATCTCGCCTTTCTGGGTGCGCTACGTTCTCTTATAGTTCCGTCAACTCCGGATCCACTCGAGCCTTCCGGGGAAATGCTGCGTACGTCGTTTTGTCTTTTGCTTCGACGATCAGAGCATCGTCCATACTTCGCTCCCAAAGAGGCCTGGGCCTTCTTCTGTTCTTCTTCACTTCTTTTTCCTACCGTTTTTTTCCACTTCTCCACATTCTGTTGGGTCCCCCCTCCGGGCCGCTATCTCCACTCGTTGTATATAGTCGCCTATCGTGATCCCATGGTTATCTATGCAAGCATGGGAGCCATGCTAGGGTTAACACAGCCCTCCATGAGGGCCATGTTCAGATCCAGATCAGCCTGTTGGTCCCAAGCAAATCGATTAACGTATTCCATTCTAGTCGAAATTCTAGTACTACACTATGTTTGTTTTGATTCGCTATGAAAGTTTGACAGATAAAATGAGCGGATCGTGGATTTTCCCGAGGATTTTCCTATGTTTCGAGGGGTGCATCGATTAGGTTAGGACCGAAGCGAGTACCAGAGCTGAACCAAAAAGTTGAGCACGTTTCTTCGGGACCTTCTAGTCTTAGAGTTACCTCTAAGCTATTAGCTCACTCATCATTTCAAGAAGCTGTCACCCTTTTTTATTCAGAGAGCATAATATCACGACTGTCAGCCTTGTAGCGTGGTATCCAATCGATTGTGCCGTGTCGTGTTTATTATTCCATGCCGTGTCCAGTACGCCGTAATTAGGATCTTACTGGCGTCAATCCCAATGAGCCGGCTGATACTCCTGCGGGTTGATAAAGCATTTCCTCTATCGCCGCGCTATGGTTACCACGCCAGTGTTCGCGTCGCACCCCCTCACTTTGCTTTTGTCGGAAGGACAACATTTCCCAGGCTATACCACGGTGAGGAGGAGACGTGAGGTACGAACTTGTGAGGACCAGAGCTAGGTAAAACGCTCTTCCCATGTTGTCAACTCACCATTTGTAGCCCTGTGTGCGGGGGGAGGGGGAGTGTTTACCACAAAATGGACGATGGTCCCATGGAACGTATTTTTGGAATCGAGTCAACGAGTTCAGAAGATATGGCCGAAAAATGGATCTCGAGACTAAACATGTGTAACCAGTGGTGTGTCTGTCTGTCTAATATTGTTGAGATTGTCTCGAATTTAGTATTTCGATTTTAAATGTTATGAATACCAGGAAAGGATTCAAATATTAGTGCCAACACCGCCCACCACCCACTGGACAGCACGCAACCACTCCACGAAGTTCCGCTACTCACAGCCAGATGCCGCTGGGAGGCCATCGGGAGGTGGTGTAAAGGGGGCCATGATGGGGCGAAATTGAGCTGAAGGAAAATGGATCAACGATCGAGAGCGCAAGGAAATCAGCCGCCATTGTTGCTAGTCAATTGCCCGGTAAAAGTCAAAAGTTGTAGTCGAAAACCAAACCCAAAAAGAATGTGATATACACATCACAGACAAACAGGCGTAACTCTTTGAAAAACTTGTTCTTGAAAACATAGTATCTCAAAACATATAACCTCAGTAACGACATCTCTCTGGCTTCTCGCGGAAAACAAGCTTGCTCGCTAACTCGTAAACAATATTGCATAAAAGTTCTATAGAATATATAGAAACGTCAAAGTGATCCGATGCCAGCGCTGAGGCGAGTAGTTCGCGGAACTAATAATATTCAAATCAACCGTTAAATGCATGAACGAAGATACACAATGAAGGGTTACGTCTGTTTGTCTGTGTACATATATTCATAGTGAAACATCGTTCTTCGAAAAGGGAAATAAAGTTATTAGTCTGCACGACTCTTGAGGCGTGAAACTCGATCAGTAGTGGAGGAGGAGCCAACCTACTAAAATATCCAGGCCCCGTAGTTTACCGTTAACATTTATCTACGGCGCGGTCAGACACCGTAGTGTTCGTTGTGTTCGACCTACTGCGGTCAAACTTCAAAGTTACCGTGCAAATACAACCGTATTCCGATCCATCCTAGCACCAGCCGCGTTCACTAGTCCGTGTTCATCCCCATTTTGGATCTGCCTTGAGCGTCGTGGACTCGATATACCGCTCGCGAACGGCTCGGCAAACGGTACTGTGGGAGCACCCATAGGAGGAGAGGAGAGTGAAGTGTTAAGAGGTGAATCACCTAAGAATTGAAAAGCAAATATAATATCAAGTGCCCAGGCCAGACCAATACAGAACAGACATGTTTCGAGTACTCCCAGGGAAGCGACCCATCATGTGTCGTCAGATTACATGAGAATTCAAAAAGATGTTTAATGGTAGAGCCAACTTTCCACTTCTCGATTGAAGGGACCAACGAGGTAGAGAGAGATCGACATTCAGAACAGTATGTATTAGCCTACTAGTATACGATTCTAGAAGTGTAGAGTGTAGGGGAAGTGTACCAGTTATGGATATACTGCTCCCCTAATTGGCTATGCGGCCTAAATCATGTTCTATTTAAGTTTTCTTTTTTCTTCAATTCTGTCAATGTAGGCATGCAGAATAGCATTGAGACTTTATTTTTGATTTTAATTGTAATTTCGAGGTCATGTTCTATTTAAAACAAAAAAAGGCCGTATGGTCAGACCACTAGTTTCATAACTTCCCCTATTTGTTTATCCCGAATCCGAAGCAAAACTCGTTCCGTTACTTCAAACGTAGAAAAAACTAGTGAACTAGATTTTTCCATCGACATATGGAGAGTGATTTGTTTCCGATAAGTTTCTGGAGACCATCAACATAGAGAACAATCGAGATAAATAGAGAGAGTATCGAGATCTAAAGAACTGGATGTAAGGGAATCTGGAGGGTCTACTCAAATCATCGAGATAGGGAGGAATATCGAGATATACAACATCGGGAAATGGAGAGTATTCTGACTCCATCCGGACATGATCTGGGTGTACTCTGGAAAGTTTTCAGTTTCTGTCATGCATCAATTCATATTAAATCACATGAGAACTAAATATCAGTGGTGGTCATACTGAGTTTTCAGGCCCACATTGGTCCTACCCGGATATGTTCCGGATATATTCGGGGAAATCAAAAGCTGACATGACCAAAACGCTTCATACGACACATCAAATCATATGTGATTTTAAAATTTACATTTTTGGCGAATTTGTTTATTACCAGCGATAATATTGGTC